CACACTGACACTGACACACACACACACACATACACACACACACACACACACACACACACACACACACTCATACACACTCATACACACACACTCACTCACTCATACACACACACACACACTCACACTGAGACGGCGCTGACAACTCATCACTGTGATATCTATCCATCTCTCCATCTATCTATCTATCTATCTAATGGGCTAAGAAAGTTTTCATGTCTTTTATGCTGTAAAAGCTGCTTTGAACAGACAAAACACCATAAAAGTATATAATATATAAAGTTTTCAACACTTTTAATGTGATGCCAATGATGCAACTATATTAATTCTCTTGGTTTTGACAGAAAGGTTTAGCTTTACTGCAGCCAAACTCTTCGCACAGAGATTTAATTTTTTATTTGAGAATGCGATTAGATCTGATCTGAATATGTGGGCTTGAACCTGCAGCGTCGCGGTGTGAACGATGTTCCAGTCACACTGTAAACAGCTGCTTTATCTTGAAAGGTAAAGAGATGTTGAGAGGAGTTGGAGAGATACTGCAGGTGCGTCAGACGCTGCTTCTGCCAACAGATTACTAACGATACGAGCCCAGAGCTCCAGTCCTGGATCTAATGATGGGTTAGTTGAGTTTGATCTGTTACGATATAACAGAAGGAAATCTACGTTTGTCAGAGAGGGAAACTCAAACACAACACATTTACAAATATATACTGTGATCAAACAGCAGATATGAACAGGACACTATTCATAATTTAACATTTAAAACTGTGCAAATATCCGTGCTTATAGCCAAACGTACAGAACAATGTCTGCAAATAAATTAAATCTTGAACAAATTTACGCTTCCTGCTCTAGAAGAAGAACAGAGCACATTCATAAGCTGTCAGTGTGTCTTGTTTTCAGTCACAGATAAAGACATCATTCCCACAAATCCACACTGACTGTGAAATCATCAAAGTAAAGGAGAATGAGTTTGAGTCTCGTGATCCCTCCCCAAACGCTTCATGTCTCTCCCTAACCGTCCACTCAGATAAAGGCAAACAAGCCCACAAATAGATCTAAATAAAAATAAATCAACTACAGTTTAGAGAATCTGTGAATTTGTTTCATGTTTTAGCTACTTGGGTTTACACTTGTGGTCTTAGTTATTAATTCAAAAGAGCCAAACTCAAATTCATCATGTCTGACAAGTTAGATATCAAGCACTGAAGAAGACATTCACAGGAGAGATGTGAGCATCTATGTTTTAAGGAAAAGAATAATAATATATATATATAATCACGATCAGATTTTTTCTAGATCCTGCATTAAATTTATATTTTGACCTCACTATTCGGGGAACAGACACAAAATAAATAAGAATGTATATTGAATTTTATACAGTGAAGACTATTTAGTCTATTTGTAGTCTAGTCTATTTAATATTTTTTTATTCAGTGTTTGTAGGTCGATTTCTTTGTTCTATTGTAATGGTTTAATCACGATCAGATTTTTTCTAGATCCTGCATTAAATTTATATTTTGACCTCACTATTCGGGGAACAGACACAAAATAAATAAGAATGTATATTGAATTTTATACAGTGAAGACTATTTAGTCTATTTGTAGTCTAGTCTATTTAATATTTTTTTATTCAGTGTTTGTAGGTCGATTTCTTTGTTCTATAGTAATGCATGACTGTTTACTTGTCTTCAGTAAGTTTGTTTTTACATAGGCTAGTATTTTTTTATTTTGTGATATTGGAATTGGTAACAAGAATTACGAAATTGCAATGCATCCAAAATTTTGATTGGATAAAAATCATATTTTAAACTAGATATCATTATTGTGATGGGGGCACTGCAGTAAGTCATAGCCCCGGGGCCCAGTGAGGTCTTAATGCGGCCCTGCACGTGACAATTATGCAATTTTATTTATATTTTCAAGGGTGTTGTTTCTGGGCAAACTTTTTCAGTACTTTCTGCATATTTGCTGCTTATCAAATTAGAGCTTAAAACAGCTTCAGACATTTGTCTGTTCAGCTTATTCATCATTCACTGCCACTTGCAACATAGTTTTTCTTCCTTTCATGCTGAGAGACAGATAAAAAAAAAACATCCCTCATGTTGAGGTGTCTAGTATCACAAGAAATCAGCATATCACTGATGTTTTATATTTGTCCCTGGACAGTTTTTCATTTGAATCTTTGAAGACACAGGTGCAGCATCTAAAGACAAACACACACATACTGTACACACACACACACACACACACACAAACACATACACACACACACAAGTTGGTTCTGGCCTGTGAAAGCAGCAGCTTGATTTTCAAAGTAAATTGTTTTACTTTGAAGTGTTCATCCAAGAGGACATACTTGTCAAACATGCAGAGGTGCAAATTTATTCCTGTGGGTTGAGAATGATAGTGGAGTATCATCTGCATTATAATGATAGAAAAAGTGATGAGAAGTGCTATTTTTTTCTAAAAGCGGGCTGAGTACTGAGCCCTGTGGAACACCATTGGGTGGTTTTTCTTGAACAGGTGGATTCTCTCCATGATATCTGGTAGGTTTAGTTATGCAAAGTGGATGTAAACACAGATCCAGTAATGAACAGTTCACTGAGGCTGGAGAAGATTATTTTATGGTTAAAAATGTGTAAGCGCTCTGTGAGAATCCAGGCAGTTGACATATTGCCTGTTCCGGTGACTAAAACATACAACAGTTTGAACAAACCCCATATTGCAAAATGATATGAAGTGGCTTTAATTTCAGAAAGGGATATATATATATATATGTAACTCTTTCTTTAGCCGTTGCACATGTCTTCAGAAATGTAAATTAAATTAAATGTACCAGTATAAAAGAATATTGTCTATTCACAGTGTTCTCCAGGATCTCTTTGTCAGTCATCTGTTACCCACATACAGTCCATTAGAGCTCAGAACAGACGTGTTTCTCAAACTCATAGTGTGACGGCAGCGATCTTTCAGGAAAACACAGGAATTAACCCAGCTGTTTACATTACCTGAAAGAAAAACATGTGTCGCATGAGCGCGCTGATACGAGCAGCCTCTCAGACAGTTCGACTCCTGCGGCTGTCTCACAGTCACCTGAGTGTGGCGAGATCATTAACAAAACAACATGTATCCAGTTTGACAGGCCATAGACTCCCTGCGATGATTCAGGATCTAAGGCGTTTGTTGGCCTTTGATGTCATTAGGTCAGATTGAGTTAGACCTATCGGACTGCGCCATCTAGAGTTTCATGCCAGAACTCTGTATATATGTGTATGTGTATGTATAGTCCCTATTCATTGTCTTACTCGTGTATCAAATTAACATGAGTTAATAGTATTTTTAGTTACTGAATAAACTAGTAAATGCTGTAAAAGGGGCACTCGCGAGCACCCTTTTGAAAGCTAAAATGACGAATGGGACACCCTACAGTCTCATGGACTTAACGGACACATGTACGTGGTGGTCATTGTGAGTCCTCAAGACCGCAAGTGCACATGAAGTGTGCCATTTGGGACAGGGTCCATATACACATACAGGTCCCACAGATCAAGGGCCGACGTCCCGCAGTGTTTGGCTCCAACACACCTGCCTGGAAGTTTCTTGTCGAGAGCAGTTTTTCCTCACACTAAATCACACACATGCTGACTCCATCTAAACATTACATGAAGCTTTAGTTAACGGTTGTGTATTTCCAGCATGTTTTACGTGATTAGGTTTCCACAGACGTGTTTAAAATACAAGTCAGTTGTTTGCTGTACTTGTCCTAACGTCAATGTCTTCAAACCTCAGGACAATAAAGCAGCAGTTGTCATCATGCCGAAGCACTGCTGTGGAAAACAGGAGCAAATAATGGCACATTTGCCCACATCCATCGCTGTTTCAAACTAAGAGCAGGGAGTTCGACTCTTGGTTTAACTCAGTTCTGTAATTTTACCTTATGGATTTAACTGATTTATCTGGTGTCTTACTCAGAAATTAAACTAGTTGTAATTATACATAAAAACAGTGATCAGATCTTAGCTGTTGACTACACGTGGCTCTGTTCTGAATTCTGGTGGTGATTGTAGCATCCTGTAAAAGCTGAAAACAGTCGGCGACCCCTGCGGTGACCCCCGTCGCAGCCGCAGGGAGAAATCCATTAGTATCTGCGTCTGAGCAGCTGTTCAACACATCACCTGACCCTCGACTCATTCCCCGTCATGGACTCTTAGCGTGAGCTGAAGAACATGCTTGTAGGTCTGAGCGTGTTTCTAACAGTGGCAGATCTAGACCACAGTAACTGGGGGCGCCAGGCAGGGGCCACTTGTGCTTTTAGGGGCACACTTTTGAAATGCATCTTAACCTACTTTCAGTATTATTCATTCAGTAATTTTTCACCATGTCATGTATCACTGAAATCTCTAGAAGTAAGCAATAACAATTACAACTCGAATAAATGTTTCATTACCAGATTTTGTCTTTGCACAGTCGCGTCTGCTTCATATGACCTACTAAAAAGGCAAGCAATTAATGTAATGTAATGTAAATCAAAACCAGATAATATAAATGAAATATTGAAACGTGTTACATCTGTTCTCTGGTAGCTGCTGACTTAGCAAAGTCATGATTGCTTGATATGTAGTTTTATAAAGTCTAATATAAGCAACAGCGGACACTTGGATAGTTTAATAGTATTTTTCACTATGTGAACATGACTGAAATTAAATATTTTTGTTACCTGTCTCCTTTTTTCTTGGTGTAGTTCTGATGAGTATGTGAAGCTCCTTCTCTCTGAAGCACGTGGTCTCTGCATGCAGTCTTTCCTCTTGACATAAAAGTTATTGCACAATTAATTACTTTTTCCCCATTACTGCCACCCACAAGACAGACTGCGCATTGCACCCAAAATTGTTTGGTGTGATACGATTCCAAAATTTTGTCCGTTGTATGATGCCAATCACATAGATGTGACTATTAGGACTCAAAGTTATAGCGCCACCAACTGGCAGCAGGAAGTGTGCCATTTTTAAAATGCTTTGAAAACAGACTCTTATTTTTACTCCATTTGCTTAAAACTTCATCAGAATAATGTAAAAACATGGCAGATGTAAAACTGTGAAGGGATTCTTGATGTCTTAAATACTGTTGCTATGGTTAACATGTCAAACCTTGATATTTTTTCAGGTGTTTTCAGTAAGAATTTTCAGTGGATTTGGAGAATTCTGGGATGTTTTGTGGTGCAAGTTGGTTTGTGTCTTCCTGTTTGATCAAATTACACAAATCATGTTTGATTACGTCAACACTTCAAAAGATGGTTAAAATATGAAAAAGGACTTGACGTCCTCATGTAAGTGAACTGTCAGTCTCTCACTCTGACTAATTTGAGCTCTTTGTGTAAATATCAAGATATAATTAATAAAGTTCAAATCTCTGAGTTTGACCAGGGCAGATTCATGATGATAAACCCCTTTACAGTTAGCTCCAGTGGCGTGCACAGTGGGGGCTCGAGCCCCTGCCCCTTTAATCGCCGACGCTAAAGTGCTCTTTCAGTCCGGTCTGTGCCTCCGGACCGCGATTCTGCCCTAGCAACGTCGCTTAGCCCCTGCACACCACTGGTTAGCACTGTAGATAGAATTGTCCATTTTTGTGTTGTAATGTTTTCTTCTGAGTCTTTAGTCTCTCTCTCTTCACTTGCGGTGGTCTTGAGGACAGATACGGATCCATCGGGGACCCTCACGCGTCTCCTGCCTCAGTGAGAATGAAAGACAGCCAGCGCGTCTGTCCGTGACTAAGTGAACATTTCTAAAAGCTTATGGTCAAAAGCAGCTCATGGTCAACGTGACGTTTGTGGATGAAGTGATAAGATCCTCCTTTCTCTTCTTTTCTGCCTCTCTCCCAGAAGATCACGCGGGCATCTCTCCGAACAAATGAATGCAAATACCAGGAAAAAATCTGCTCTGGAGCGTCGACGGTCCGATTGGCACAGAGTGGAGATTATTCCTGCGATTGAAAGAGAAGAAAGACAAGCGAGATGGAGAAAGAGAACAAACTCACAGACCAATATGAGTTTGAATCTAGAGAGTCTTGAGACACAGAGGTTTTTAATTAGCCTTTTTTTCACATCTTGGGAAGAGGCGCAAGAAAAATGCAATAGACAACTTTCTTCAGCTGAATGATAATAATGTAGTTACAGGTATTTAACAGAAACAGTCAGTGATGAACAACTGCGGTCAGGCCAGCCTCCAATGTGAAAAACACGCTCATTCTCGCGCATAATCTATGCACCACGGCAATAACGTGTGGAAACTCAGTTAAAAGAAAAGCATCTTTGGCATTCATTATTCAGCAGTTGCTCTGTCAATAATTAATAAATAAATAAGTAAATATAAAAATAAACAAATAAAGATATAGCCTAAACAAATAGCCTATAGGCTGTCTGATGTGAAATAACAAAATAAAAGCCTCTCATAAACTTGTATATACTTTATGCTGTTCTGTCTACAGTCCTAAAGTGGTGCAAGTGATACTGTGTGAAGGCATACTACCAATCTGAAGTGAGTCTGTGAAAATAAAGAGCTACTCTCTTATACGTATCTGAATCATTAGACAGTCCTGACATTGTGTGCGTGATGCTCTGAGGTGATGCACTGTCAGTCGGAAGTGAGGATGGTTTCTGGAAACAGGGAGTTTTCTTTTTATAACTATATGAATTTACAAATAAAACAGGTTGCAGATACAAGTTTATGAGAGGCTTTTATTGTGATATTTCACATCAGACAGTTATTTTGATATTATTGGGAAATTCTACATTCTACATCAATATTAATTCTACTTAATATTACTCAACTTTTGAAATCATGTTCACGTTATCAGACCGTTTTTTTAAACATTTGTATTATTTTATATTTATATTTATTGATGTCGTTTGTCTTTATTTGTGTATTTTTATCTTTACTTATTTATTAATTATTGACAGAGAAAGTGCTGAATAAATGAATGCCAAAGTTCGCTTTTTACATGCTATCACCGTAAATAATGCATCGTATAGATCGTATGTTTGCAAACAGTGATGTTTGTGGGCGGAGCCTATCTGGTGGCAGAAAATGACAGTTGTAAAGTAGCAGTGTATAAAAGCCATGGAATAAAAGTTATTTTGAGTTTATATTTCAAAATTATGTCTTTTTTTCTGATTAAAAAAATAAATCACCTCGTCATTCTCTTTTTCCCCCTCGGCTCAGAAACATTATAATCCCACACTTATGCCTTTTTTTCCCCACAGAATTGACAAACTCGCAATTGTTGAGTTAAATCGAGTTATAAAGCCCGAATTAGGAGATATAAACTTGCATTTGCGAGAAAAAAGTCAGAATTGTGAGATAAAATAGGTCAATGTTATGTAGAGTGTTATAGGGTTAAATAGTATTTCATGCTGTAACTGTAGGGCTAATAAAATATGTTCCCTATGAACTGCATATGTGAATATTATAAATGCTTTATGATTTCATGCTCTCTTTAATGCACTCAAGTGGTTGATGAATGTCCAGATGAGCTGGAGTTTAGAGAAAGAAGATGCTCAAATATAAAAGATTTTGTGACATGGTTTGATCATAATTCCCACATGGAAAAAAATAGTCAGAATAAAGAACAAATAGAAGTTAAGGTAAAACTCACCTTAAATTAACATGATGAGGGGTGTGTGTGTCCGTGTGTGAGTGTTAGTGTGTGTGTGACAGTGTTAGTGTGTGTGAGTGAGTGTGTGTGTGTGAGCGTGTGTGTGTGTGTGTGTTGATGATTTACCCCGCGGCAGGAGCGAGCGAGGCCGGCTTGAGCGTCTCCAGAGCGCCGCTTAGCTCCGCCGCGTTTGACGCCTTCAGTCCGGACGCGTTCAGAGACGGTAGGAGCTGTTTCTGTGTGCTATTTGAAAAAAGTGTGCTGTTTTTGTTTAAAGGGGTCATATGATGCTGCTAAAAATGAACAGTATTTTGTGTATTTGGTGTAATGAAATGTGTTTATCAACCACATGTGACGACCCCGGGCTGGACTCCGCTTCGTCCACGGTTAAAAGCCGATCCGGTGATCCACAGCAAAGTTGATGTATTTCCTCAGCGCCCAGCACAGATCAGCTCTAGGCATGACGAAGCGGATATCGTCCTCTTTTGGAAGACCAAACAAAGTAGTTTCGCTTTCACAACGAAGCACACAGCGTCTTCACGACATGGCGGCAGCGTCAACAATACTACAGCGAGAATAAAAGTTACGCCTTCTTTATTTGCGTGAGACATTTGGGCGGCGTTATGCAAATCTTCCCACAGAGTGAGGTAGACATGTGGGGGCGTGTTAGAACGAGGCGTTTTAGGTAGGTGTGGCTGACTCTTAACTTTTATAAAGAATATCTCTTTGGATTTGAGACTTTAGTCTTCGCAACTTTACAGATCTTCTTTATGCACCAAGAGCTTGTAACACTCCAAAGAGAAAGGACAAATTGAAATCGCATCATATGACCCCTTTAAATGCTAACAGCATTAATCCTTCTCAGTAGATTTGCCTTTAGTCCATTTAACGTTTAACGTAATGTATTGTGAGTGTTTATAGTGAAACCAGTGACTTCGGTTCTGTTGCCTGCTATGAACTAAACACTGACACTATTTATGTTTTATTTCTGCAGAGACAAACCTAAACAAGTGCAGTGTGTTGAGCGGACTGATGGATCAGGCTTTGTTCAGCCCGCACACACCTCCGTCGGAGACGAGTGAGCCGTTAAACGACAGCGTGTCTCCCGGATCGGATCTGGAGTCCGGCAGCGAGTCGGAGAAACCCAAAGAAGAGCTTTCCAAAATGAGCGGGCGAAACCCCGCTGCTGTTCTGACGAAGATCTTCCCTCGTGTCAAGCGAGACGCTCTTGAGTCGGCGCTGAAGGCCTGCTCGGGAGACGTGGTGAGGGCCATTGAACTGCTGCTCGGTTCTCAGGAGGGCCAGAACTCAAGCGGAGACGTTCCTCTGTCGGAGAACCTCCCCATCTCACGGTCGTCTGCCGTCTGCCTCACAGAAGCTCCTCTAAGACACTTCAGCTCCAGATCAGCGTTCTCTCCCCTCCACGCCTCCTCCGGTTTGCTGGGTTTAAATCCTCGCTTTGCCATCGCTCCGCTGCGAGTCGCCTACTCAACACCCAGCTTCATTCCTCCGTATCTGACGCCTGCGTTTGTCCCGGCGCTGTCCCTGCGGCCCCCAGCAGACTATCCGCTCCCCGGGGCCCTGCGGGACCTTCCTTACCCCAAAGACACTTTCAGCCCCACAGTGTTTTACTCCAGCCTCAGCAACGACAAATAATCCAAGCCTCAGTCTCTTTCTTTATTAAACTACTGTACAGTGTACAAGCGTGTCGTGATTTGAGATCGAGTCACAAGCAGCTCATGGAAGTAATTACAGTTTTATACACATATAGTTTTATACATTATTTTTTGTAAATGTATATTTTTATGCATCTTTGAAAAAGTCACAGTTTGTTAATAAAGCTTAGTATGGAAACTGGACTGATTGTAGACTGGTTAAATAAACCACTATAAATCAGTACAGCTGTCTGATCTGTAAACATTAAAATGATTATTACAGTACATTAGATTTTCCTGCTAATAATGAAACGGTATGAAACTGCTGCTTTACAAGAACATCTGCAGTGTTTGCAAATTAATAGATTTGGGATGCTAGAAGAGTTAGCATTAACACAGATATAACATTTGATGCTGTTGCTGTAAATCGTTAATGTTTCATAGTGATGATTCGGTAATAGTTGATATGTCGTAGTTATCTTCGATTACAGCTGTTAGTTTACAAAGTCCTTGTGTTCAATTCCGACAACATGATCTTACATTAACTCTGTTCTTCTGAAAAAATTAGTTAACGGTGACAATCAAAACCGGAATATTGGGTTTAATAGTATTGTAAAAAAAATAAAAATAATAATAATAAAAAAAAATTCAGCACTTCAGTAATAATCAAACAGCTTTCTACTCAATTCAGCGTAAAAACAATGTTATTGTCTAAAAGGAACATTTTCTCAAATCACGTAATATTGACAAAACAAAAAGGTTGCCAAAAAAAGCAACATTGTACAAGTACAAAAAAAAAAAAATATATATATATATATTATATATATTTTTTTCAAACATAAAACAGTTTTAAAACACACAAGTGAGCATCATGATAAAATATTTTCTCAAGTTGATTTCCATCCACCCCAAAAACACAATTAATTAATCCTTAATTTGGCCACAAACATTTCAGACTAATAAAATAATGCAAATGCATCCAGGAAGGTACAATTTTACATGAAACATACAATCAAACTGAATCGTGTATATTCACACATTATACAGAAACACAAATTCATGTTTTAGAGAAAATATAATAAACTAAATAACACCAATATGCAGTCAACATTTTAACAAATTAGTTCAAACTGCAGTCAGAGTCATAAAAACAAAACAATGTTGCTATTTCATGAGCATTTTGTGATAATATAAGCACACGTATACTGTACAATATTAATCCTCACCGATGGGGCTGAGAAACACTAACCACACAATTACAAGATGAGTGAGAAATGAAGGATGACAGAGTCTTCACACCAGTGTAGCTTATATACAATCAAAACGAGTCTAGACACGTTTGCTTTGCTTTGTCCTTACTTTATCTGCTCATCTGAGCACCTGTAATCAATCAGGCAAAAGACATCGGACCAGTTATCATATTACACTAACTATGCATCGATTTGAAAACGTGAACAGTTCTAGTTTAGGCTCACCATTGAAACTTTTATTGTTTTATTTATTTAGCTTTAGTGCCGTTTCCACCCCACTTCTGAGAACTGACATTAAACTAACAGCTTCACTAGCAATGCTTCTGTCAACACTAGCACTGATTGAAATCATGCTTAATTACTTACTGAAGGCCAAGCCTCAAATCCATCTGTGCTTTTAGAAACAGAGAAAGACATTATGAACGTCATCATGCGACACAAACCACCACAAGAGTCCTGTTTCACACAGAAATGTGTTTCGTGTCAGTCTCTACTTCTGAAAATATTGACAGAGCGCCACCTAGTGATTGAGACACAACATCTCTGGTTCTGATGTGTGAAGCTTGTCATGTCTGAGCTCCTGGAGATGACAAAGCCTTTTTCATTAATATAAATTAATTTAATTTAGTTTACTCGAGCAAAATAAAATGAGAATGTGCTTTAAAATTGGGCTGTTAGTGATGTTGTGAGCGCCGTCCTTATGATGCTGTGCCTCTGAACATCTGCTGAAGACCTGTGTGAGGAACATGAAGAAAACCGAGACGACAGAGTCTGTAAACAGCATATTACACAGTGTCTGATAGATGTGTGTCATGTACCGCAGTGCTCTTGTAATGCTGCCAGTGTTTAGTGTTTTTAAGGTCGCTGTGTTCCTGATGTGTGTAAATATTTGCTATGTGGTGGGTTGATTTTGAGACATGAATGTTAAAGTGTTTTTACACATGGAAAAATCCTGTATTCATTGTAATAATATGCTGCTCTGTGGAGATAATTTCACAGATATGTACAGTTAAATACATCAGCTGTGTGTCTGAACAAACGCTGATGTTTCAGAAACAGACAGCGTTAGACTGCTCTTCATAAAGCGTGTGCGTGTTAGTTTTGTATTAATTATATAATAAATAAACAGAAAACAGATAGAATAGAAAAAGAATAGAGCAAGCTAGTGTTAGAGGCCTTTTTTGCTTTTGTTAATTGTATAATAAATAAAAAGAAAACAAACAAAAATAATAGAGAAGCTAGTGTTTTTTAAGAAAGTTTTTTTTTTTTGTTGAAATAATAGAATTAGAATAGAAAGTACTAGAGTTAGAGGGTCAAATAAAGGTGGAACAGATGTGTTTTAGTCGTTTCTTGAAGATGGTCAAGGACTCAGCTGCTGGGATTGAGTTGGGCAGCTCATTCCACCAGGAGAGAATCGTAATAACACTATGATACCCAACTTTATACACAAATATACCTTTTATATAAATAAACTGTAAACTGTATATTTAAATTTTTAACTCACTTCTAGTTGCCCTGTCTCTTTATGCTCTCCTCCTGTTGCTCTGGTGTGGCTGGTTAAGTGAATGAAGTACGCAGTCCGTGACGGACAGATCGTTAACAGCTGGTCTATGTGGTAATAATAAAGTACATCGGGCAGGACATCCAGACGCCCGCCTATCATTCATCGACCTCAAATATGTCTTGCGGGTTCGGATTAGAGGCTGACATTTTTTCGGGAAACAAAATCACTATTAATCACGTGATTGGGACGGGACAGGAAAAAATGTCAGCGGGAGTGGGCGGGACCGGGAATCGTAATAACAATATGATACTCAACTTTACGCTCACCTATTATTCATCGACCTCAAATATGGCTTTTCATCTGAAAGATGTATGTAGTAACAACTTTACATGGCCGCTCAGTCTAATGTGCGCTGTTCAAGTGTGTGTGTGGAAGCTGAAGAGCAGCGCGCTCACAGCAGGACAGATGGAGAGCTGCGCTCACTTGCTCTTAAAATACTCCGTACATTTTGGTCATACAGATAAAAGTAATACATCTTTCGAATCTGTAAAGACTCTATATTTATTTGTGTGCACTCAGAATAACAACAAAACGTTGCGCTTCTGTAAAATAATTAAAGCAAACAGGATGCGCTTTCTGCCGTCTCGGTCTTGAGCGAGAAACTTCGAAACTCCATGTATGATAAATATATTTATAGAGAGTGAAATGTCTACTTTCAAATGAAAAAAAAAAAATCTATAGAAAACGTTTGTTAGCATGCATGATTCTACATTTTGGATTTATATTCAACTAAAATGGGTATGCTATGATCTGTACGGTATTTTTTACTGTAACTGACAGATTCCGGCCAAAAAAACACAACATGGGAGTGGGAGGGAATGGGAGTCATTCTGGGATCGGGACGGGAGAGGTTTGAACATCTACTCCCGTGTCACCCGCTACTCTGAAGTACTAAACACTGTACTTTCTCCAGTTTAATTTACCGTCCAAATGGATGCCAATGTATTTATAAGACTGAACTATTTCTATCTTCTGACCATAGATTGTCACGCTATTACTGCTTCTTTATGTCTTCGGAAATCAATGATCAACTCCTTAGTCTTCTCCACATTAAAAAAAAAAAATAAAAAAAAAATAATCACACCATATAACAACAAGCTGAAGCTCTCTTCTATTGTCCAAATCATTATTTTGTTTGATTAGAGCCACAAGTTCAGTGTCATCAGAAAACTTTTGTAGACAGCAAGATGACGGAGTATGCCTACAATCAGAAGTATACGGTGCAAATAAAAAGGTGACAAAAAGATAAAATAGAAGTGTATCTGAGTTTACCTCGACTCAATGTTTTACATGTTGACTGTGTATTTAGAAAAGCCACAAAGTTATTCACATATATTAATATTAACAGCTTTAATGGATCATTGTTCTTTATTTAGGGTAAAAACATTATTTATTAATGCCTTTTGCCTTGACAATTATTTTGAACTACTTTAGCACACCGTCACAATTTCTTTAATGTTCTTCGTTAGAGTGAGAGAGTCATTAGAGTGTTAGTAGACTGCTTAATATCTGATAACTCTTTATTGTGATGGTCTCCCAACAGACATTCTACTGACTCTAAGTAACTTTGTAAGTACATGTCAACTGAGGCCCTGTCCACACGAACGCGGTTATTTTTAAAACGGCAGCTTTTTCTATGCGGTTTGGCCATTCGTCCACACGCAAACGCAGCACCAGGTCACTGAAACTGATCATTTTTGAAAACGCCTGCCAGGGTGAAGATGTTCAAAAACTCCGGTTGCAGTGTTATCATTTAGACAGCGAAATCGGAGTTTTTGGCTTGTGGCGTCGGAGCCTGCACTGTTATCTCTGCCTACTGGAAACATTTTCAGGCTTCTTCTTCTTTGGTGTTTATTGGCGGTTGGCAACCTAACTTATTGGTGCATTACAGCCACCGATTTCTTCATTGTTTTCTATCGTGTTGTTTCTTAATGCAGCACAATCAGACCGCCAGCTGTGGGGGCGTGGCTTCGGCGGTCAGTGTTGGAGGGAAGATCAGTGATTGGTTTGAAATATTACAGGCTCTAAACCAATGGGCGACTCGCACGCTCTTTTAAAAACAGTAGAGCGGGCCTCACGGGTTTATTATTTTTGCTTTACACACGTGGGCATTTGTACATCCAACAATGAGTGGAAGAGGCAAAACCGGTGGCAAGGCGAGAGCGAAGGCCAAGACTCGCTCCTCCAGAGCAGGACTGCCGCCAGAGACAACAAGAAGACCCGCATCATTCCCCGTCACCTGCAGCTGGCGGTGCGCAATGATGAGGAGCTGAACAAACTCCTGGGCCGAGTGACCATCGCTCAGGGCGGCGTGCTGCCCAACATCCAGGCCGTGCTGCTGCCCAAGAAGAGCGAGAAACCCGCCAAAGCCAAGTAAACAGATTCTAGTCTGTTTCTGAAACCAAAGGCTCTTTTAAGAGCCACCCATTTTATCTGATAGAGAGCGCTCTTCTTTTAGTTTACGTTCTAAGTGACAAACAAATTAATATAAACTAAAGCAAGAAAGTTATTAACCAAATGAGTGTAATGTACAATTGTTGAGTGTGAGTAACTGCTAATACTATCCACTGCTGGAGATTATTTAAACCCAATGAATACATTTAAACCAAATAAAAAAAAACATAAATTAATTCAGGAGGATTATATAAAAACTTGTAAAGAGTGTATTAGTGTAGAGTGTTTGTTTGATGCATAAAATATTAAAGCATTTTGAGCGGGAAACAAACGGATCGATTTGAAAATAAGAGGTGCACATTCATTGGCTAGCAGTCATGCGCAGACGTCACACATCAGCCAATCACAAGCCTCTGCACATTGATGACGCCATAAGCTGTGGCCGTATGATGCTTTAAAAGCAGGCGCGTAACATACAGCAGCATTTTCTACTAACGCAAGACGGAGATAGAAGTAGATCTCAGCGATGGCAAGAACCAAGCAGACCGCTCGGAAGTCCACCGGTGGCAAAGCCCCGAGGAAACAGCTCGCTACTAAAGCCGCCCGG